ATAGTGATCAGATCGTTACAGAAGGTTGGTCTTGGATGGTCTTGGACACCCAGGTTTTTTCAAACCAGCCATCATGGACACCTGCAGCTACTGGTAGAGACCAGATTTCGTCCGGTGCTCGGATCAGCAGGTGTTGTGGTACGGATTCAATTCCTGCAGCTTTGTGGCTCAGCGAAAAGCGATACCTCGAGAGCCGCGGGCGAGTCAAGCACCATGGGTGTCCTGGCGAAAAAAAACCAGACCTGCGTGCTAAGAGCGACGTGTGGTAGAACGAATTGCCAATATTGCCATCTATAGGCCTTTTTTGATCTTTTTCGGTTGGAGTGGTGTCTTTTTTCGCACGAAGTTCGACCGGCACCCCGTCCGTCCCGTCGACTCAGGCCTGCCCCAAGTGGTGCGCGCCCTAGGATCGGTCCGACTTGAGCAGTGAGAACGCCGAGAGCGGCCAGCCTCGGCTGAAGGTGTTTGATCGGTCCGACCCGTTGTTTAGCCGAGGGCAATCACTTCTATAGGAGCATTTGGGGCCACGCTACGAACGGGGGCTCCTGGTGTAACAAGAAGCGATTAGAAACAAGCTATTGGCTCCTGGTCGACAGCATAAGTGTTTGTGTCCGAACCAAGGCTGGTCGAAGCAGAGGTTGGTGCCTTACGACGGCTGATGCTATGTTCATGACATGGTTCCTTCAGGCCATCGCTTCTAGGTTGGAGGCCATTGCTATCAGGCTTTTCTTCCTTTTTTTTAAAGTCGTGCTTGACCCCTCAGACTTGCAAGATGTGGCGATCCGCAACTGCGGTTTGAGGCCTTTTAATCTTCATTTGCTTCACTTGGTGCTTTTGGTGCGTGGCTTTTGTGCAGGTGCTTTGCCCAGCTTGGTTCTGTTTGCATTAGTTTACATGAAGGATGCGTGTCATCATGAATCTAAGAAAGGCAGCCAGTTAGAGAAGTCTGCTGTATCACTCGGACAGGGTCAGGTTGATGAGAAGGGAAGCAGCTCGGGTTGTTGAGAAGGTACGAAACAAACGGAATCAAAGATACAACTGCATGCTGTGCCTTCAACTACCAACCTCCAATTTGAATACCGGCGATTTTGCCACTAAGATTAGTAAGACATTGTTCGATTGACTGTGAGTCAAAATGCCAGAACGAGAACACGATAGACTTGAACAGCCAAAGATGAAAACCATTGGCATCGATAATCCACAATTGAAAGTCGAATTACTCTATGACACATCCTGGCACCTTACTCAGATACAAATCATCACAAACCCATGGTGGTGATACATACTGTATTTGTATCTCTACGGGCCCTCGACTTGGTTTTCCTTTGCGGCTTGGCTGTGCTTGAAGACTCTGGCTCTGACTCTTGCCATCTTCGCAATCGCTGCACCTTGCAACCTGCCCAGACGCCGTCCCAGCAGCGCGACGAGCTCGTGCGGACCTCGCGAGCAGCGACGAAGCAGCGGGAAGCGAGGCAGAATAGAAAGGCCAGAGGGAAGGAAATTGAGAGAATGATGGCGGGCAAACAAGCAAAAAGGACATTTGACAATCCTTTATAGACATTATTGTTTTCTTTTTTCACCTGCCTGTGTAAGTTTTTCGTTCTGACTCTGCCTTAAAAGCCACGAAGAAGAACTTGGCAATTTTGTCAAAGGATCCAACCAAATATATAAAATTATATAAATTAATGTATGCATATAACTTGTATAATGGTATATATGTATTTATTTACTGTTATATAGCTGTATATATATATATATATTTGATTATTATAGTGTTTGTTTTGACCTTTAAAACATATCATGTTTGTTCTTCTTCATTTTCTCCGGAGCCTTCGAGTCGAAGGAGTTGATTGAGCTGGAAGACTTCGACGCCTGGGAGGTGCGCTGTTCGACTTCGCCGCGTTCGTCGCCGCGTTCGTCGCCGACGTCCCGTCGCAGGTGCTGGATTTACCGCCGGATGCCGATAAGCAGAAGATCCGGCGGCGCTTTCGAAAACTGGTGGCGTGGCGCCTCAGAGTGGTGGCGTGGCACCTGTTTCGATCGCTTGCGAAAAAAACGAGGGTCTTTTGCCATGGTCCTTTGTGCCGTGTAGCAGCCTTTGGGGAGCAAGAAAGCTGGCTGAACAGGGCCTCAACACCCCCGCCCACGCGTAGTACGCGTGGCGTGCGAGGCCACGCAACATCCGGATCGACGACCCAATGACCCTGATGCCGTGGTGAAGTTTATGCGGATCAAGAAGGCATGGATTGACTGAAGGTTGGAGGAAAATCATGGATTGACTGAAGGTTGCTATAGACTCTTAGATGAACAACATCACTCTCTCTCCATAACTAAGTATGAAGAGACCATTCTAGTTGGGGGGTGATTCATGAACAGTCTACGTTGATTGTATAGTTCCTGAGAACTGAACTGAACGAACTAAGAGCGCCCTGTTGACATGCAGGCCTACGAACAGCTTATGGGTGCGCCTGGCAGGGAGGATGAAGCGAACGACCGCATGCCTGTCACATTGTTTGAACAGAGATGGGTGAACATTGGAGCAACATAGAAGACGATGATTTTGTCGACCATCATAGACGTGTCACAAATGACCCGTGACTCACGCTCTGAGATTCAGTCAAGGCCCACAAGAGAGCTTTCTTTAAAAAACGCCTCATATTGGAGCTCAGATATACTCACATGATCACATGTATGCGACTAATTATATGTGTCCACTACAAATGTCGACATATGTCAAATGTATCTCAAACATGGCAAACCCATGCCCTCATTTTTAAACGTTCTACCAGTCACCATTTGTCAGCCGCTGGTCTCCCCGTGTCGAGGCAGTGATTCCAGCCTGAAGGAGCTGAAGCAATGGGCGGAGGAGAATCGGGAATGGTCAGAGCCGGGCTCCCATTGAGCAAAAGGACTGCTCCAAAGCGGAAGGAGAACGGGCACATCAACCTATCGACCTTCTCAAAGAGATTGGTATAAGAGGTTAAGGTGACTTCCTGACATAGCCTCGACACAACTTCCTCGACAGAACTCTGCGAACCTCCATGCATTTGGGGTCGTGTTTTGGTGTCGGGGGGCGAGAGAGAGAGAGAGAGTGAGAGAGAGAGAGAGCGCGAGAGAGAGAGAGAGAGAAGAGCTGGAACGCGTGTGAGACAGTTGCCATTCGTTGCAGAGGTTGCCATCTTGCAAGAGCACTTGCCTTCTTACTTGTCCATTCGGTATGTACGTGGCAAGCATTTGACCACGATTCATTGACGTTCACCGACTTTTCCTTTCACACCAGCCGTTTCTTTTTTGGCTGCCCCATTTTTGATATGATCCCAGCAAGGCATCGAATCGACTACGCCCGAGTCCCATCGTCCAAGGTCTGCTCGTGAATTCCTGGGTGAAGAGGAGGATCTGCCTCCTCCAGACGTGCCACCAGCCTTGTATGTCCAAGCCCAAGATGGGGCACCTGGATGGGGGTGCGGGCAGGTTAGGCTAATCGGTGCACAAGATGGGGTTTGTTTGCCGGTCGGTTTGCCTTCTGCAATTCATTTTGGAGCTGTCCAAACTGCGCAGGTTCTCAAGCCGAGAATCAGATTTGACCTGACAACTCTTTTTTCCCTTCCAGGTCCCGACTAGCCATCGTGATGTGCCATGTCTCGGGAGACATCCTATATACGCACTCTATCTCCTGCCCAAACATCGGGCGGCATGGACAGTCTTCTATTGTTGAGCCATACGGCCATACGTTGGGTCTGTCCCATTGTCGGTCAACAATTAAGGTAATTATCGCTATTTTAGAGAAACGCTTTTCCATGCTTGTACTAACCATCATCCACTGTTACTGGTAACAGGATAGACCTAACACATATATGATTCCTTTGATTTGTCCTCTTCAATGCACATGTCAACCGGGCTGTTCGACCCTCGATCTGTGTCTCAGGCCGGGCTCGGCGTTCTCTTTGTGGCCTTGGCCTGTGGCACCTATTTGTCTCTGAACAAATAGCTGTGCTCCGGATCTCGGCACCGGATCTCGATGAAGAGACGCCTTGTAAATAGACCCGAGAGCCCGTAACGGGGGATGACACGTGGAGCATGTCCACCGATCTCCCTTGGGCGTGACATCGCCCCAGAACCAAAAACAGACAGGTCGCTCACACGATTGGAGCAGGAGGTGTCACGTGTTACGATTGTTACGTGTCACGACGCGTCAGTGGTGACACGACCTTCAGCGGCATCGCTCCGTGATGAAATCACGGGGCATCGCTCCCAGTGCCAGTCATGCGGAAAAGAAAGGTGCTCAGAAAGGGTGGTTTGGAAGGGATGGAAGAGGCTGAACTTCAAGCTGAGAGCGTCAAGCAGGCCAGTTTCTTCGGCCTTCAGATTTTCCGCAAATTGTTTGGAGGGTCAACATTGAGCGACAGGTACTGAAAGAGACTACCCTGGTGCACAAAGAAGCACCCGTGCAGGTTTAAAGCTTGGATGATTGAGTATTGCAGGACTTTGGCCTCACCCTTCCTGTGATTGAGACTCCTCAGATTGTGGTGTCAAGTGCTATTGATTTGGCCCAGTCATGTTGCCCAGTTCAGGCCATCAAAGAAGTCTTGGATCACCTGCAATTGCAGAAGGTCGTCATGGTAGGCGCGTAGATGTTTCAGAATCTGGCAATCCGTCAGGCCAAAGAAGCAAAGACATGCAAATACCAGTTCCACACCAAGAAACCAATGCTGATCAATTGACATCTGCTGGAGTTTGTGATCAAGTTCTACTTGCTCCAAGAACTGCGGACCTTTCTGAACTCCATGTATATAGTTGCACAATGTTGCATATAACTCCATAGTTGAACTCCATGTATAACTCCACATATATATCTCTTCATCCATCCCAAAAAGCCTCGCGTCACGTCCTTGGACCGACCGATCTGCCAGGCTATTCGTTGGGTGGTCGTGTGGCCATGGGTTTCGCTGACAGGCGCCATGAGGGCGGCTGGGAAGATGGGAAGGCACTGAGACATGTTCACAAGGCATTGAGAAAGAAATCCCTAGTGTGTTTTCACATGTTCACATTTTTTTTCACATGTTTCTTGCAACAATACTGGACTGCTCCACCCAACTCGAGCACACAAACAAACGAAAGGCACGATCAAGCGCCGAAACTGCCCCATGCTGTCACTCCAGTTTCGGGGCCCAGCCAAGCCTGCCTGCCGTCGAACGTCACGTGAGTTTGAGGATCAAAGAACCACAATGACAAATTCTTGCTGCTTGATGTGAAGATGGCAAGCAGATGCAAGCAGCAAGCTCTCCATCCTGGCTTGAAACATGGCTAACATGGTTTTTCACCAATGTCTCTGTCAACATCTCCAGGGTCCAGGAAAGAACTGGTGTTCCTCAATAACGCAGATTTAGATTGTGGTTCATATGTTCTCAAATTTCTATTTCCATTGGGCAATGATGAGACTACACCATTCATGAGAAAGCACATTTGGTCGCTCCAACTATAAGTGTGGCCAGCATGGCAAACCCTGGGCTTGGTGGTAAAGAACATGAAGAGTTTTCCGAGCTAGAAAGCAGGGCTTGGTGGACAGGAACGTCAATCAAATCAACACGCAGATCTCCAGCATGTGAAGAGATATGATCACACTGTGGCAGCCGGATTACACGTCCGCCCCTGTCCTAGCTTGCATCAATGGAGGTTGAATCCACACATTCTGGGCCCCTGTCCTTAGGTCCGTTCCCGGGATGATCGGCACCGGAAAACCAACCAGTTGACCAGTTGACCACCCATAGACAAACAGAATAGACAACGTGAAGGAGGTCAACCAACCCTGGTGACCAGGGCTGTTTAGCTGTTTAGGACCCACAGTTTCATCAAGTTTCATCCTTGGTCTAGACCCGAACTCGTCGACTGCCAGCCTTCCGGAGCGCTGTGCGGCCTTGGTGGTCTTGTTGGCACCCCCAGAAACGAGCAAAACGACAGCGCTGGAGTGGGAAGGACAGCGCCGTTCTGATGGTCGGTTCTGAAGGGCGGAAGGACATGATTTAGGGGTTCTCAGTCTGCAGGACTTGTTGCTAACCACCAAAGCAGCTCATCCAGTTTTTCATTGCTCACCTGAGTACTGTAGTCCAGATACCCTTGGCTTCAGAGGGCACCGTGGCACCCCTGAGATGTCTGAAACAGACAGATGGGGGTCTATATAAACCACTAGTACAACCACCATCTACTTGGGGGCCCTTGTGCCATTGTTGAAGCCTCTGCAATCCAGCTCGTCACTGTCACCCATCTCCTTGGTGGTTACTACACCAACCGTCCAACCATCCGAGGTCGGCGAACCCCGGAGTGACCACGGCCGCGGAACGGCATCAGCGCTGGCAGCAGGACGAGCGTTGAGGTAAGGTCGGTGTTGGGGAAAACTGCTGGGAGCCTCATCAGTGGGAGGATGAGGAAGCATGGATTCAGTGATGAGTTCACAGTGATTCTCAAATTTTTTATTCTTCAATGACTGGACAGTGGAGGAAGAAAGTGCCAGGTGGGGAGTTGGCAGTGTTTTTTAGGATCAGCGACAAGCCAAACAGCTCGTCGAGAATGGCTTGGAGGCGGTCGAAAGGTCCATCTTGAGTGAACAAAAACAGTCTTGACAGCTTGACTCATTTGTTCCCAGGTTGCCTTCGTTCACGTCTGCCGATTCCACTGTACTTACATATGGTAATTAAGATCAATTGCAACAGTCAGTCGAATGCCAAAAGGTGTCACTGGAAAGAAACAAATTCAACTCATGCACTTCGCGTGCCGCCTTGGAAGGCATTTCTGGAGACTTGGTATTCTGCTCCACTTTGGGCAGGCGATAGCAAGCCGACTAGGTGACTGTTTGAGAGATGAAATCAGCGCCTACGAGCTGCTATTGGATGGCATTTTTTGGGATAGATAATGCATGGAAGCTCCTTTAGTGGTCGGCCAAGTGGCCTTTCACCTGTGCATAAGCAGAGTTTCCTTTCTTTTTGCCTTCATTGCTTCTTACATTCTCACGTATTGGTTTCCGCATGTTTCGACACCTCATGTCGTCAGCGGTTTTGGGTCGTGGGAAGCACTCAGACCCCATGGTGAACGGGGCGTGCATGGTTGCACCTTTACCTTCCATGTCGTTGAAACACTCAAAGTGCCAAAACGTGTTGGCTCACGGATCAACCTTTGCGGGCAAAGCGATATATCCATGGGACATGAGTCATTCCACTGTATCCAGATCGTGCTGAAATTCTTGGCGTTCCAGGCCTCAGGGAGCGTCGACCTGATGTCTATTCCCGCATGTGCTGCTGGCTTCATTGGGTTCGGATGAAGGCGAAGGTACTGCATCTCTATCTGCGTTCTATCCTCTATGGTCCTTCACAGTTGAGAGAGGCACATAGCCCAAGTAACACCGGATCTAACCTTGTAGATCCTTGTAGCATAAAGACAATAACATACTTGAAGAACTCGGCAGGCAGTAGTTCGCGTGGGGACTTCTTTTCTGGCCATTTACCTCTTCTTTCCAGGGGACATAGGAACGGCCCCTTTTTTTCGGCACTGGACATGGCCAAAGGATCCCCTGAGCACCGATGAAGGCACATCAATTGATCAGTTTTGTGCTTCAAGGAAACTCTTCCAGGAGGATCTCTCCTGGACAAATCATGATAGTGGCTCCACTGGACATCACTGGAGACTACTGTTACACCACGTTTGGGAACCTTTCGCACGCGTGGGTCTGAGCGCTTCGGCAGCGCTTCGTGCCCAGGATTGCGAAGCGCCAGAGAAGCCAAAGGTCCGGGTCTCCCGAAGAGAATTGCGACCTCGGTGAGGGAGAAAGACCAAACCAGACAGATCTGCTGACCAAAAAGACATGTTGTTTGGGCTCAGATCGCCTCTTTTCTCTTACTTTGGATGCATATTGGGTGGATTTCTTGCCACTGTGTTACATATTGGGTGGATTTTTTTTGCTACTGTGTTATGTTTCTCTAAATGTAATGTTTTAGGCTGTAAGAGGTGCACTTGGTTTGAGTGGTGCAAGAACAAGCTCTTGACTCTTGTACGAGCTGAGATGTGCAAGACCGTTCTCAGGCATGAGTTGATTCAGCTTCTTTTCTGTGAATCACAAGTAGAGCCTTTCCTTCCGATGATGTTGTAAAGACGATGGTTCAGGTAGGACCATCGAAAGCGGTTTGTTTCATCTCCTTTCGAGCGCGCTGGCCACTTGGGCGTCAGCTGTGGGAGGCATTTGGCAGCGCGGGCATTGCTGGGGCCTAGGCCTTGGTGAAGACTTGGCCGCCAGGATGCTCTCTTGGTCAAAGCTGTGTGAAGTTTGGGGAAAAGCATCGGACAAAGCATCCAGCCTGGCCGGTTAGAACTGTTATTCGTGATGAAGATGGGTGAACAATGGTGTTGGAACCTGGATGAATGGTTCCATGGTGACTGTTGCATGGGATGTTCATTGCTTGACTAATCCAAGGTTCAAGATGGTTGGTTCTCCTGATTGGTTGAATCCCAACTCAACGTCCAAGGCTTAGCCTGGCGCGGCAGCCCAACTTCCGCCCACGCTTGGGTCAGCGGCTTCCGTTTTGGTGCCCACAACGCTGAGACCTTGGGTTGGCGGACGTACATCCTTATAGGAACGCGCTAGTGGAACTGCTCCGACAGAAAAAAGGTATCTGATATTCTCTGAGTATGATGCATTTCGAAGGTATATTGCATTCATATAATTTTGCAGAACATATAACATGCACTTTGAGGGATGACATGAATTGCTCTTCGAGTCAGACCATTGTTGTCAGAATCATCCTTATAGCAGGCCAAGGCTTCAAGGTAGGTTTCAGATTTCAGCGAAGAAACCGTGACCAGCAAAGCGAGCTTTTGATGCTCCATTGTTTGCCCACTCACAACTCGTTGGCCATTTGTTGGAATATTCGACGGGGATCACACTGCACAGCTCACACGCAAGGTAGCTGCTAGCCCTTCTTGCCCCTTTCCCAGGTACGTCTACGGAGAGATGGACACCAAATTTGCGGAAATTGGAAAAGACTTGGCCTGGTCGCCCGTGCCAAGAGATGTTAGATATGCTGGTGTTGAGAAAGGACCTAGCAGGTCCTTGCAGTTCAGACTGCACTGGAAGAGAAGCTAAGGGAAGGCAGCGACATCTGTAAGAGGAGACCTGTTCCCTGTGTAGTGAAGTTTCAGTACTTCAAATCTCAAACATTGTGTGTGTGTTTTTTTGGCCAGGCATGCAGGCACGCATGAAAAGCAACAGCAGATTTGCCATGCTTTGCCACCTATAAATCATGGCAATTTGCAATACATTTCAACCGTATACTGTGTATATATAAAGCCAAACACAAGAAGACTTGAGGCTGCTTGCTCCTCACAGGTGGGCTTGGCGCGAAAATTACGTGGGAACTGAATGTGGAGTCCGTTCGCAGACTGGGCGGGAATGTTTCATGACATTTGTGTCTTCTTGTTGGAAGATGACCGTGAATCCCGCTCGAACATGCGACAATGATGGATGGCTCTTTTCTGTTTCTGGGCTTTCACCACTCGCTTAGACTCGCAGTAGACTGGAAGGTGTTTCGGTGTGTCCATCAAGTCTTTCAACCACGAGCGATTCTGATCACTAGGAAGATGTTGAGTGAGTGTTGGTGGGTGGAGTTGGTGACCATTGGTGACCTACCAGGTGGGTTATGAGGACCGATGAGTCACCGGCCTGCAGGTGAGTGCACTGCCCTGTGGCCATGCGGTCGTTGAGGAATGCCCCACGGAGGCCGCACTGCGGGTGGGACATCAACTGGAAGTCACCTCCCTCGACCCTCCCAGTCATGGGTATCAATTCACTTGAGGGTGACTTCCTGAAAGGGGATCTCCGACACTTCCGGAGGTCATCGAATTTTTTTTATATGCACATGCATCACGTTCTCTCTGTTTTTTTACCCAGTCGAACACCCGATCCATACGAAAACCGAAACGGTGAAGACTTCAGCAGACCACTTCCTCACTCTTCCTCCAGACGCCTCCACTTCCTCCAGACGACTCCAGTACCCGGTCGGTGAACACTTCGCAGCTCCGAGCAGCTCCGCTCCGCTCGGTTGGCCCAGGTGGCTTCGCTGCTGTCCAGCGTGCTGAAGCAGCTGCCAAGAGCTGCTCCAGAGGCGGACGCCACGCGCTCCCGCCGCGGAAGAGCTCGAGCGGCAGAAGAGCGAACTGGTCGAAACCGAGGGAGGAGTCTTGCATGTCTCAGTTGGTTTTTTGGGACATGGAACTTGAGCACTTTCTGAGTTTCAGAAACACTTATAGGAATCAGAAACCACCAACAAAACCAAAGTACCTTCGATGGATGACCGCTGCTGGGCACTATGCACTATAGGGCACTCACCAACCCCAAACTCCTCTCCTTGGCTCCTCTCCACTCTCGGCGGCGCTCTCGGCTGGTCTCCCTTTGCACCAGGCTTTGGAGCTTGAAATCACCGCCTCTTGGACCGAGCCGGTGCAATTGTTGCTCAAGGCGGACCGGCCCAAACGGTGAGGATCGGGAGCCATAGAAGAGTGCTGAGCCACATAGTAGTGAGTATGTAGTCAGTAAGGCTGAGGCCACCGAGTAACTCGATGAATGGCAAAGGCTCAGGTTGTGGTTGATGCTGATGCTTCTACTTCGGAGGTGCATGCCATGTTATCGCACTCAGTTTTGCCAGCAGCTCAAGGCCTGACTAGTGCATGGTTTCAACAGTAATAGTCACAGCACAGACACACAAGATTGGCACTCAAAAAAGCTTCCATGCAAATCGCAGGTCCTCAATCGATGTTGGTTGTTTTTTTTCTTCTCCACTTCTGGATGAAACGATTGGTCACCATCATCATCCCCGCCAAGATCGGTCACCCCACTGGCTCTCCGTTTCAACGGATGACCAATCCCCCAAGACCCCGACCCCATCCGTTTGACGGTCTTTTCGCTCACGGCCAGGCGCCCCTGCTGCTGTCTAGAGGTGACTTCATGCCTCATCGATTAGGTTGCTTGCTCGTCTTGGAGGTGGCGAGACGGACGAGAGAGTCGTTGCAGATAGAGAAGTAGCGGAAAGAGTGAAAGACTGGGTTGACACATGAGAAGAATATCAGCTTGCTAGACCTTCAGATGTTCATCAATCACTTGCTTGCCATGTTATGGACTTCCTGGATCCAACGACACTCTGCACGATGAATGAGTCAAGTCTGTCCTTGGCGGATGCACAGGCAAAGAATGGCGACGGCGAAATTGCAGGCTTGGGTGAGGCTTGGTTGGGCCTCAGTATGCAGCGCCCTCCCTACCCCACCTTTAGATAGGTAGGATACCCTAACTAGATCTTGCATGGATGCCACCAAAGACCAGCAAGGTCGTTCAAGCGCTATAGTGATCGGTCGTGCACATGGCGCATCGGTCCTTCCAACGTTTTTCGCGTCTTGGACGTCGGTCGTGCCGGTCGTGCCCGTCGTGCCGCGGTCAGGTGACGCCCTTGCCGCTCTTCCACAAGGAAACCTTGGAGGAGGCGAGTTCGGCAGACCCCGTGTTCGGCCGACGCCGTGGAAGGAAGAACACCAGCTCCACCTTGTTTGTTTGGGAAACAAAACATGATGAAACATGATGAAACCATCCGTTTACTTTGCTACCCTGTGTGGCGTGAACACTGGGCGGAGGGTACCTAGCTAGGTCTATAGTCGGTGCCCGACCGGACGAAGTCCAGGCTGAAACTCAGCTGAAATCCATCTTGCAGCGCTGGGCTTCGACACACCCCAAGGCTGGACGAGTGTTTTCAGAAACCACCCGAAAGCCAAAGTTGGCTCAAATTAAATTGTTGGTTTTGACAGAAGTGTTGTACTCTCAAGAATTCTGCTCGAAGGTTCTCCAGGATTGGCTGTTGCTTCCAGCAACTTGCAGTCTGCTTACAGAAGCTCATCATGCTGAATCCGAAACACATCATTATTCTCCCACAGGTGCCCTTTGCTTTGAGCCGTTTGGACGGCCACTTGACCAGCTGGCTGAATGACCACTGCGGAGGCACGGGGTAGGGAACGGACCGAGGTGCAGAGCGAAGACTCCTCAAGAACTCGTGGTCAAAGCAGCTGTCATTGCGGTGGAAGCCACGCGCCACTTTGACCGGTGGTCTACGCCTTGGACCGGTGTGGTTCGAAGGTGTGTATTTATGGATGTATTCTTGGGAGCCTCGACCGTGGCCAGGGAAAGCTCTTTTGCCTTCGGTCAGAGCTGGCCTTGAAATGGTTCGAAACTCAGAACCGCTGCGACGAACGGATGAGGAGTGCGTTTATGCATTGGAGAGTGGGTCCTTCCTTCATCAGAACAGATAGGGAACCATGAGGAGAACCATCCAAGGAACTTGTGAAGGCCTTTAAGTGCCATTGACCATATATTGACACCTGTACTGTGTATAGTATAGAGCCTTGAAGTTCGACCCATCCATGTGGATTGACCTGCAACTCGACTCTAGTCACTCTAGATCCCGAGTATACCAAGGCTCTCCTCCACTTGCTGCGCCGCTGTCCCGAGCGGAAGAGGCCGCCCTCTCCGCTCGCCACGTCCGCTCGACTCGGACGTGACGGGCCCGAGCCCGTGCCGAGAGGTTCGGAGCCGTGAGCGGAAGTGGTCCCAAGCACTGCACAGACTGGCTAGTGAGTGATCATTGGGTGGTATGGGATGGGTTGGGATATGGGATGGGATATGGGATGGTAGGGGATTCCGGAAGTTTTTGGAGATACGTGTGCCCAATGATAAGTGTTTTGGAGAGCTTCCATGGAAGTGTTTTTTTCATGTTGCTTCAATGGTGTAAGGGGAGTGATAGGGAAAGATAGGTGCAAGGCTCTTCTTGCGACTGAAAAGATGTCAAAAGGGACCCGAACCGATCTTCCAGTTGAACGCGCTCCCAATGCCGAGAACCGTCGATTTTCCGTGGAATGAATGATCCAAACGTGTTTTCGTTCTCTCACAGAAGAGTTGGGGCGGTGGGCATGACGGTATGATGGTATGACTCCAAAACGCGAGACCCGAGGTTTTCTTGGACCCAAAGAACGATCCCCCTCTGCCTGAGGCCGCGGAGATCCGAAGTCAGCGAGGATCCCAGAGAATGTACTCATTCATGGCTGTGCTATGCTGTCCAATATGCTGCTGTGGATCAAAACATTATCAGTTTTTTCGAAAAAATGAATCCAATCGAATAGCGATGGCCTCCAACCTAATAGCGAAAAAGTGGATCAAGACAAGACGTATTAAGACTCAAAATTCATGAACCCCCCAGGTGAACCCACAGCCGAAAGTGGCTTCACTCACTATTGATAGACCCATCCTTGCAGGAGTTGACCAATGACCAACTAATGGATCTTCAGCATTGTTCAGTCAGCTCCCCAAGTAACAGGCCCCAAGTAACCAGCTTTGACCGTAGAGGTCCCACAGATTTTCTTCGATTTCATGTTATTTGCTGTGCCCAGTCCAAGGCATCAACAGCCTCGTCGCTAGAGACGAGGATTTGGCTGCGGAAAGTGCTTTGGTCGCGAAGTTGAAAGTGGGCAAAGATCCACAAGAGGACGGGTGTCAGAAGATCATGTGATCTTATGGTGCATGCTTTGGACATTGTCATTGTTTATGAATCCCATTGGAAAGAGCTGTGGTTTCAAGATTAAAACAAGTACGAGAAAGTCAACAGAAAGTCAACATAGGAGTCGTGATGTGATGTGTTACGACACAATTTTTAGGGAAGTGTCATGTGCGAGCTGTTTGCTGGAGCATGCTGAGCATGGCAGTCTTTCTGAATGTGTCAGTTCTGAAACTTCTTGTATTTTTGGGCAGCATGCAGTTCCAGTCATGTTCAACGAAAGACCTCGTCAGGGCCTTACTACGCTGACAAGACAGGTCAAGTCCGTAGAAACTATTGATGTGTCTCAAGTTTTGAAGGGGACAAAGCAAAGAGTTTGGAAGGTTATCGGGGGTTATGCCTCCTGACTGGTTATTGGTGCTTTGTCCACTGCGCCCAGTTTGAGACACCCCAGATACGTGAACGACTGCGAAGCAACGCCGTGCCAAGCCGTCCAGGATGCCGAGCGCACCAATCAGCTCGCACGGCTGTTGCAAAAGCGCCCACGAGCCACTGGGTTTGCAGTGAGGATTGGAGTGCAACCATGCAGAAGTACTAAACTCCGAAGACTTCCACAAACGAGACCTGGTGAAATTCTTGAGATGGTCATGTTCGTCTCTACTCGAGGATGATTGAAGCAACATGGAACATGGAACCTAGCTCTCCGGCCGTGCCACAGCGACATGAACTTCAGACATTCAGACAACCGCCTCAAACAACCTACCCCCTGCCGAGAGGAGTTCAAGAAGCAGCAGCGATTGCAAGTTGTTGTGAATCAACATTCCATAGATGAAGTGCATGTTTTTTTTTCCCCGAGTATTATGAATTATGTAGGTGTAGAATCCACCAATAGACTGATGCAAGGTGTCGATAACTGTTTCCATGTTTCCTCATCAGCATGTTTGTTGTTGCCTACGAGTCTGAATTCAAGTTCAATTCATGTTGATGTGCAACCCCAACAGAGTCATTCCATACTTGTGCATACAGAAGTACCTGGCAGTCCATACCACTAGCCAGGTACTTGGCCAGTCCAGTCTAGACCCGACCCCCGGGACAGGCGAGATTACGTTTGGATGCCAACCGTTCATGGACGCTGGCACAGGTGCATTCGGATATGGGGGCGATCCTCTCAAAACGGTACGTGGGTCACTGAAAAACAGACAGGTGCCCTTCACTGGGATTTCCTTTGAGTTTCAACATAGAGAAAGCATATGGACCATGTGGATGATTCTTTTGCTTTCTTTTGTTTGACAAATGGTGACTTGGTGTGGTGAACTGGTGGAAATTGGTGGGGACGGACCTGGAGGATCAAAGTCCGGGGTGACAAGACTGTGTCATTGAAGAGCTTGAACTCATTATCCCAGTTCTTTGACAAGGATAGTTCTTTCAAACTGCCAAAAACATCGGACTGATCCCCAGCAAAGATGAAACAGGAAGGCAGGCTGCCAACATCTGCCAACTGCTCCAGAAACAGATGTGTCCAGTACCGCAACGGGTGTGTAGCTTTCACATCTGAGTACCGCAACTTGCAGGCCGCAACGTTCATCAACGGCTTGGACGAATCAGCCGTGAAGATTACAGAATACTTGGAGGCAGCCAGACGCTCTACGAGAAATGCCAGCAGATCCACTTTGTCTCACTAACATGGAAGTGGAAACTGGTCCCTTAGAAGACTACTTTCCTTACGAACAGAGGGTTTTCCACTTCCATGATCTTCCATGCTAGTGAGTGGGAGTGTAGTTTTAATTCGAGGATCTTCAGTGTTCAATGACTCATTCCGCCATTCCGCAAAGGCTGCTATCCAACAACCCGAAAGGAATCACTGCACCGATGGACTCCACTCGTATCAGGTCAAGATTGACTGATTTGACTCATGCATCCGAAGACTGCAAGGAGCCCATAGAGCAAAGTCCTCAATTGCTCCAGCAGTGGGAGGCAGGGCCGCGACACGGTTTTTTTGAGGCAATGGCTTCAATGGACGTGCGAACCGGGGAAAAGTCATCATGGCGAACGGCTCCATTGTTGGAGACGACTTGGCTGTGGGTCCTTAAACCTCCCTCACCAAACCAAACAGCATATCAAGGGATGTCTGGAGGCTGCGTGCGTGCGGACACCAAATCAAGGGATGTCTTTGGGCGGAACAACTATATACGCAGAATGCGTCGTGTTACCCAGGTGCTACCTGTTTTGATTCAGGTCTGACCAGCCTCCCCTCACCAGCATCAACCAACATCAACCAAGTCAAGGTCTCCCTGTATCACAGCATACCAAGGGATGTTAGGAGTAGCGCGTTGATTGTCAAGTCGTGTTACCAAGGTTCTCCCCTGTTTTGACCCACCCGCCAGTCCGCCGATCTGTGGGTCCTCCCCGGTGCCGAAGACAGGAGCTTTCCACGTTGACGGAACGACGGGTGGCCTTCGCAGTGGACGAGAGCCTCACGGAGGTGCATGAGTGGCGATCTCGGGTGGGTGTCAAAGAGTATAGGCATGACCACGACCACAATGGCAGAGCTCTAGATGGATTCTGTTTGGATCATGTTTATGATAGAATTTCAAAAAGACACAGAACTTCTAAAGCCGAACTTCAACAAGGTGCACGCGTCACGCGTTGTTTCTTTTTCAGTCCCTTACTTCCCTTGCTTGTGCTTGATGTGACGATGCCGTTTTGGTGTGAACTTCAATGCAGCTGCCTGGCAGCTGTCCACTCCGAGCTGTCGCCACCGGCAGGGCCTTGTGTCCACCAAAGACATGGAGAGCTGCAAGGCTCGAACATGCAGGGCTCATGCCGTCGCCGCAGGGCTCATGCAGTCGCCGCAGGGCTCGAGGCCTCCAAGGCCATGCGGCATTGAAATCATTTAGCAACGTTGAACAAGCAAATGATGAACAATCAATGATAGTTGCAAAATCAATGAACAATTTAGTTCATTTGGAGATGAATTATCAATGAGATGCCATCAGAATGAACACTTCTTCTTTTCTCATCTTTTCTCGCAGATGTTCACACATGATGGATTCTGCCCGGGCTACAGCCTTCCTTACCAGGCTCCTATCAAAGCGCTGGTGCTTAAGCCATCTCTACAAGGCGCATTGGCAATTGGCACCAAAACAAATGCCGTTTGTGTCAAAAGGGGGAGGGCTCCCAACCAATGATCTCATACGATCTCCACATGCATGTTTCTTGTTGCAAATCCATTGGCCTTGCCCCTCGTGAAGATACTGACACAGTTGATGAGCAATCTTGGAGTGGTTCTCAAGCTCATTACAACACTTAAATATAATGTAGTGGCAACTTCAACTGTCTTGGAGGTAGGCCTTGGTTTGCCTTAGGCCTTAGGTGGCTTAAGCAGATGACATGAGCAAAAACACACCTAGCCTAAACCCTGCTTGTTTCTCGCAGCACCGCCACGTCTCCAGAGACACTGGACAAAATCCCAGGAGTGCCCAGTGAGGTGGGCCCTTTTCCTCTTTCTCTTTCCCTCCAACCTATTGGATCACCCCACCCTGGATCGCCTCCGAACCAACCCCATCCCCTCATTGCACGGTTCGGAGCTTGGGGTCCGCTCCCCAGGACTGGAGCAAGCGGCGTCGATGGCGGCGTGGGCCGAGGAACATGGCTCGGAGCCTCGGAGCGCCTGAGGGCCTTCGGCGAAAGCGGATCGGTGGAGGGCGCCTGAAGAAGTGGAGGTTTCCAGGGAGGACAACGGTGAACGCTGGGGAGGGAGGCCTCCGGAAATGGAAGGTTTCCTTCTTTTTGGGCTAGATCGTTGGAATCTCATGAACTCAATCTGACAGGGCTTCCAGGCATGCATTGAACAAGCTCCATGGGCAACCCAACCCTCCAGTCCTCCTTCAACCCTCCACGATCGTCCTCAGGTGCCGTGGCCGTCCTCAGTTCGGCCTTCGAGAGTGGCGTGGCGCTCTGCCACTTTGCCCTGCTGTCCGCGATGCTGGCGCGCCAGGGCCACGGGATGGTGGGATGGTTGAGGAGGTTGAAGGAACGGGGAGGAAGGTGAAGGTAGGTCCTTCGCACGTCGAGGGAGACGAAGCGTTCGCAGAAGATGAAGTGGTAGGCCGTACAGGTGAAGTGGTAGGACTACGAAATAGGAACTGGAGCGCGGAGATTTGGTGGTACATGTCCTGCTCTCTGCCATTGGGGTTGTCATCAAATTGAGCATGTAATTAATCTATATTGGATTCATTAGTAGGGAAAGATAGGGGAAGAATTCCTTGGGGTCATTCCAAAAGTACAGTTTTCAGGCAGCCACCTTTTAAAACGCAACCCTGATGTATGGGTCTCCCAGAATATGAGAAGACTTTTGAAGGGAGGGCGTGACGGTTTTGTCACCACGAAGCAGCCACCCCCCCAAAACAATATATTATATGATGCAGAAATGCTCTAAAAGGGGGCCCAAGTTGTTGCTCGTCATCACATGTCAGATCTTTGTGTATTGAACCACTCTGCACGTCTTCATCCTTCAAGCGTTGCGGATTTGGCTCGAGCTGTCGCACCATGACGTGGAAAGCTTCGCGTCGATGGCGGGGCGAAGTCCTTCTGCTTGGGACTCTGTTGGTGCACGCACTGCCATGCTTTGTCGAAGTCGCCAGCAGCTTGGGACGGTTCCAAGGCCTTCGGAAGCTTTCCCTCCGAGCAGGTTCAGTGATCGATATCGAAGATACTGGACCACTCTCAAGGAGAGCCATCTTACAGAGTCCTGGCTCAGATGAAGCCATCGCGGCATTCAAAAAGAAGTTTCCGCAGGTCATGGCCAGTCCCAATCCCAATTATCTGGGCACCTCCTGCAGTGAGTCGGATCTCCGACGGCGCTTCCAAGCACTGGGAGAGTCCATAGGTCGTGAAGAGGCCTTAGGTCTGGCCACCAAGGAGCCCCTGTTATTAGCGATGCAGGAAGAAAACCTCAAAGCCTCCTGGGAGGCCTTCCTGGATGAGGTTTGCATGGGGAATCGTGCCCAAGCCCTCCGGGTGGTTCGCCAGCGGCCGGTGTGTCTAGTGGGACCGGCCGAAGGCTTCAAGGGAAAGACCTTGGCGGAGTTCGAAGCCGTCGCAGGGGTGGAAGAGACCTTTCGTCCCGTGGGGGGAGACGTTGAAGGAGATCGGACCGCAAGGTCTGGCGTTAGGTGCCGCCGCCCTGGGCATCGCGGCACTGGAAGCTCTGGGGAACAAGGCAAAGGCGCAAGGAGCTATTGAGAAGGAGAAGAGGAGAAGTAAGGACAGCACGCCAACTCCCTTTCAACAGACTTCCAAATCGCCTCCAAAGACTTGATCTTGAAACTCAACAACATTGTACATAGTGTGAGTCTGAGCATGTGAGCAGTGGCAAAGCCCGGCAGAAGAAAAGCAATGACAAACAGTCCTTTGATTCATTTGGATATCCTACAGCCCAGCCATGTGTTCTTGTTGGAAGCTTTTTGGCACTGCCAAGTCGGATCACCACAGATGCACTGGGAATGTGGATCGACTCTGCGAAGACGACTAGAGATCCCAATGAGTGGACCAGCCAGACAGTCGAAAACCGGAGTTCAAGAAGCTATATCATATATAGCGTGAGTATGTCCGAAAACGAATGCCTCTAAGCACAATGTGCCCCTGTTTTCTTTTTTTTTTGGCATGATAAAAACTTTATATAGATGAACAGAATTGGAACATCGATCCACATCGCCTTTTTCTTTTGAGGGGCGTTCAACGTCACACCACCAGTCCAGCGCCTCGTTGCCACGGTCTCCAGACCAATCCGCAGAAGAACCCTCCGCTGCCAGGCGCCGGCGGGGACGGAGGAGGACGTGGCTCAAGGTTTGGGCACCTTCACCCGGCTCTCCGAGGCGAGGATTGACCGGACGAGAAAAAGGACGATGGGAGGAGGGAGGAAGGGAAGGGGGGAAGAAACCGTTTGATGGGGTACTTAATTAAGTGGTTTTGGATGGGGTGGGGTGGGGTGGGTGGCCCAACAAAAAACCGATGGATGCCCATGACCATGGGATTGAAGTTTGCATCCCTAAGTGTTTAATGAATTCGCAAATCAAGGTGGAGCGAACTGTTACAAAAGGCATGCCCTTCAATTGTCACTCAAGCTAGGCTCGCCTGAATTTTGTGACATGGTCATACTACGTATGTTTGAGACGTCGTCGCTTTAGTCCTGAACGCTTTCATTCCGACGGAACGATACCGACAGGATGTGCTGCAGCCGCCCTTTGCGGACCTCATCAATTCCAGCTCGGACCCAAGAAAGGAAGCCACGAGATGATGTGCAGACGAGATGATGCACCCAGTGCACCCTGCTCCAGAGAACCTCATCACGGCTTCCGTCTGGGCAGGCCCTAGGGCCTGGATGTCCCACCCGAGTCGTTGTAACCGAATGGAGCGTCGCTGGTTCCGCCGGTTCCGGCGGAAGTCGGCGGAAGGGTCGTCGGAACCGGGGTTCCGAGGCTCTGAAGGATGGCAGGTGAGTACGTTGAGCTGCCAAGAGGCGAGGCGAGTCTTCCATCGTACAGGAGCAACAGGCTTCTTGCTGGGAAGCCTGTGACTAGGGATCCAAGGGTGATCATGGGTGATCTAGATAGGAGGAGAGCTTCTGCATGCAATGATCGTTTCTGCAAAACAAGATGGCCAGTGACAGATCTTGGATCAAGTATTCTCTGGTCGGATAGCTGGGTTTCAGTTTGGACTTGGAGAAAACCTCTCAATCGATTCATTTACACTATGGTTCTATATGGTTCTCACCTTTGAAGGATTCGGCTAAAGATATCCAAAAGGATCCCAATAGTTGGTGCTTGTTGGAGTAATAGTGCACGCAGCTAAACTCCAGTCCTGGACCGTTGGCGTGAAGAAGATGAGGAAGCAGGTTCATCACCAGCCCGCGACCGCACTTCACAGTGAGACAGCGGCGTCTTGCCTACCACTCGCTTAGCGAGGGCGACCTTGTTGGCGCCAGTACTTCTGGGCAGGTTCGCGACACGATCCTTCCATCGCCGCCGATCACAACGCCACAACAAGCATCCTTCATTGGGAGAGCCGATCTGTTTGCCTATTTTGCAAATTCCATTGCAATACATGTCCCCCAGTGTTATACTTCTCATTAAGCTCGTGTTCGAGACGGTCTAGCCGTGATTCGGCCATATTGTGTCCTTCTTGCTGAAGAATAGGCCCATTCGGATTTGCACAGGGTAGACGTGTAATCTTGAGTCTAACGTGTTTGAGCATGCTGGTGAATTTGCCGCATCGCACACACCAAATACCAGGTCCAGACGCTGTGGTCGGCTATTGGATTTCCCATCCACAAGAGCTTTCCTCGTTTGTTTCCTTCTCGTGACAGGCATTGGATCGAAGCGTCGAGGCTTTAGTGGCTGCACAAGGCGATCGGCAATGGTGGGGAACTGGCATCGAACACGAAGCGAACCACTGAGATCGCTCGGAAAACCAGCAGTGCCCCACTCAGATGTGTAGAGCGGATGTTCTCCCAAGATAGACAGACCTGCTCAATGGGTTGCAGAATTGGTTGCAATAGGTCTGTAGTTTTTTTTTTTGGCAATAGGTCAGTTTTTTGTTCCTATGATGAAAGACTCCGATTGGTTGCAAGGGGGTGGATCTGCACGTCTCAGCAGCTCCAGGATGCCGCAGCAATGGATGGTGCTAAGAGAGGCAGCGCGTGCGCGCATGTGCCGCTGTGCGCGTGGCCGGAACTCGAGGGTTCGGTCTTTGGAAGCACCAGGACGTCTTGTTCCGCACCTGTCAGGTGAGGGTTGTTAGATTTTATGTCAGCCTCATCTCCTCCTTCTCCTCCTTCTTTTGTTTGTTTTGACATGAGTTGTGGTCTTTTTACTGCAAAACAAGGGGTGAATCTTGGCCAGTCTTGCTGAGAGATGTTGCTCTACTAGCTAGCATTTAGGAGATACGCGTGTCAAGGAAAGGGCTGGTGTTCCGAAACTGCTAGGAGAAAGCAGCGATGGATGCGAGAAAAGCCATAATATGCATGCTATAATCGAACTTTGCTGGATATAACAGAAAGGACTTGTCAGACAGCATGCTTCCGCTGCGTCTACTGCAGGATGCTGAGAGTACAAGCGGAGAAAGCTTGCAGAAATCTTTAGGCAGAGAGACACTAACTTGTGCATATGTGGTCTTCTTCCTGCACCATTCTGAACTTGGTAATGCTTCAATGTTTGATTCGTTCTGACGGCCAAGAAGCACTGTCGTTTTGCAGAGAAGGCCTTCGTTTTGCAGAGAACGCCAAGTCGGAAGCTCCTCGAGACAAGAAAACCACAGAATCTCGATTTTCCTGTCTCTCCTCATGTCCTGTACAGCACAGGCATTTGATGCCTAATTGCCATGGCATTACGACTAACCAGAAAGCCGTACCGTTGACTGTTTCCGGAAAGGCCAAAGGCATTGAACAGTAGCACAAGACCAAAGAAACTTTGCAAGCTGAGGTTTAGTCAAAAAAACTTGCAGTAAAAGGAAGGTCTAGAGTCTAGTATCAGAGAAGCAGACAAAGCACGTTTGCTTTGTCTCGTTGACACACTGGCTGGCATGGCTTGCCTGTTTGATTGGTGACCACGTGGTTGTTTTCGTGTGTTTGGTGTAGTGTTCGTGGGTGTCTTAGAACTGGAAGTCCGAAGAAAGAACCGGGCCTTGATGGCTAGCAGTTGGCGGCTAGCCAATGGCACGTAGAACAAGAAGCCTGGCCAAAACACTTGCCGCCATCCATGAACAGCAACACGAGACTTAAATTCAAGAGTCCTGATTGTAAACCCACACATAGCTCTTCCAAGATGTGAAACAAGTCTCATCACCAAACTATGTAAAACTTTGTTGACCAATGGGGAAGTCCTGACCGACAAGTGCTTGAGCCACGAAGGCTTTCGCGGCAAAGTTGCCGAAGCTTTTGCGGCAGTGGGCATTGTGGGTGCTCCCCCCGCAGTGCCACATGTGAATCCATGTAACATCATGTAAGCTCATCGAAGCATCTATGACAAGACGTGCTAGTTGCTAACATGAGGGAGGGTCAATTTGGTCACCAATATCCTCTTTGGCAAAAGCGCATGGGCCGCCGACCATTGGGCTCAGCCGACCATGCGCTCGCCGTCCTTTGTGTTCGCCGTTAATTCAGGGAGACAATTTTTGCAGCCGGGATCATGTGGCTTCGTGGCTGTCGGAACAGCGGTGAGAGGGTTCTACGGGGTTTGATGCGGAGGCAGGAGCCGGTAAATCGATGTCACTACTCTAGCTGCTGGAAGCGTAGCAATAACTTACTGCATTAAGAATGCGATTCTTATTTATAGTTTTATGACATACATACTGTAAGCTTTACTGCTTTAGTTTCACTTTTCTTTAATATGCTAGACTCCCAAGTTGAGAATGACCCCTCCTCTTCAATTGCGCAGAAAACCAGTTAAGGAACGCTTGGACTAGAAGACACCGAATCAAGAAGACGCATCGCATTAGGAACAAAGTAGGTCGCTGCCTCACTATGACGGGACTTCCTAAACACACACACACATATATATATACCTTTCACATCTTTCGCAATGGAATCGGCCGGTCAGTGCAAACATCTCATTCAGATGGGAACTTTCCGATTTCACGAAAAACTCTGTGCCTCACTTCCTGCCCTGGCTCTCTCCAGCATGGCATGATCCTTCTCGCCCCCCAACTTGACGACCCTCAAACGAGGAGCCAAGTCGTCAAGGACATGGAATGGATCCTGTTTTCAGGGTCTTCCCGTGGTCAGCGCAGCAAAAAGGCTCAGCACCCATTTCCGGAGGGGTGGATGTTGTGGCACTTGAACACCCAAGGCAAGGACCACTGGGCACTGGCGCATGGTCCGTTGGTCCCCCTTCGTTGGAAGTGCTTTCACAGCAATGTCACCTGCATCCATCTTGTGAGTTGAACATTCTCAGGCTCATCCGAGCCATTGGAGCTTGTCATGGGGTAGGGGTTTGGTATGCTTTTGGTGTGAACGAGTTGAGATGTCAATGTTTTGACATGGCCTGCGGCCACCTGCCGCATGTCCACAGAGTCAGACCGACCTATCATCACGCCGGTGCTTGCGCTCGACTCATCACCTGCCAGTGAGTTGGACTATGACTCTAGGGATTGTAATCTCTGAAAACAGCCAGAGAAAATCTGGTTTCTCAGCCTCACTTTCTTGTCGCGGAAGAACCACAAGATTGTAGAACCCCGCAAGAGATGGCCATAGAATCTTAGAAGGCCAATGGATTCATAATTAGATAGACAATATATCTCTCACGGACCTTGCAACACCAGAATACCTGCAAACTGCATGAGCCTCCTCCAATCGAGCTAAGGAACAGCCAGACGGTCCAGACATGACTGATAGGTTGCAATGCGGATTCAGACCGAACTTGCACCAACCATAGTGGACCCTGAGAACATCCGACTCCTTCTTCTACACTTTAAGTGATTCAATCCATGTCTTGGTCCAGCGAACCAGTAATATCAGCGACTGCGATGATTGGATGTCGTCTGATGCTGATGCACTCCTCATGGTTTGCAACGAGGTCACACCAGCGTGTGCTTTGACTGAATTACGGTAGAACTGCGAAACTCGATAGAACTTCAGGATTGGTTTCGATTCTTGAGCGAAGAAGAAGAAGAAGAAGAAGAAGAAGAAGAAGAAACATGAATAGACTATTGCGAATGGGGAATGTACCATGCGAATGGGGAGATAGAGGGACGTACGTTAATTTCTTTGCCAAGACGCCAGAAAACAAAGACAAGCATATTTTGCACCCAAGAGAGTAGAAACTACTTTTGTTTATCAGATTCTTTGCAAGGATACGCACAGATACTTCTTGTCGCTTGTGCCCGAGGTCGGGAAGGGTTCACAAATACCTTCTGCTGAAGGCTGAAGGATGTTGCTATTGTGGCATGATACAGTATTTGCGTTTCCTGGTATTGATCCTCATGCAGTGCATCAATTTCTCTGGACAAACACAGCGAGATTTGGTGTGTTGTAGCTCAGCTTTGAGGTTGAAAAACCAGATCACTGGTGACATCCCTGCAGCACTAGTGGTAAACCTCTTGATTGAAGCTGACGCTGTCAGGATCCCAGCAAGTTCTTCTTGAGCCGTGCAGTAGCTGTGCAGCTACATGCAGCTGCTGCTAGCTGCTACTGCTTTCTTGAAGCAGTAGACAGAGTGTAGGTGCAGGGCTTGATCCAAGTTCAACTGGACAATTCCAACGTCCAGACGTTCCGCACGCGTCACCGGTGTTACGCTCATAAAAGGTGCGCCGGTTCGATATATATATATATAAATATTCCTATCGGTAAAGGCTAGTTTGATTCAATAGATGACTGAATCATACTGAAGCCCATTTTACGACTTAGTCACATTGCTTACGTCTCAGTGCAGTTTATAATTGTTCAAGAATAGAACACCATTCTGCCGGTCAAGATGCCATGCTCCGGGCTGGATAGTGGTGTGCTCATTGGCATTGGTGGCATTGGTGGCCAGGTTCTGAGGGAGGCTCCCTCGTATGCGGCGCATGTGGCGACGGAGATGGGGCACAAGTTCCTCGCGCAATGTCTTTCGAAGGTAGCCGAAAGGATTTGTAGCGAGTCCAGCAGGCCGACGTGGATTGCCAAAGCGCCTGCCAATGGGGACAGCGAAAACCGGTTGGAAGCAACGCTTGGGGGCAATGGCATCAAGGAAGAGTTCAAGGACACGCAAATGGATGTTCAGAAGCTTGTGGAGGAGTGCACCGTCGACGCCAAGGAGATTGTGAACAAATGCCCCATCTTCATCTTTGGCAGATCTCGCCAAGGCAAGAGCACACTGGTTAACAATTTGCTGAAGGCTCTTGGCAAAGAAGTTCGTCCGGATGGCCATGCCTCGGTGGGCCACATGACACCGTGCACTAAAGGGGTGGAGATGTACTCCTGCAAGTGCAGTGAATGGACTACACCTGGTCTGGAAGAGGAGGTGATTCTCTTTGACTCAGAAGGGTGGGAACTTGGTAAAGCAGTGGACTTGTGGAGTGAATGTATGAAGAAGGCCAAGGAAAAGAAGATTGGACAAGAGGTTCTTCCCCAGCGCCTTGTGTTGGTCTTGGTGGTATCTGCATCTGCAGAAAGCCGAAGTGAGCTGGCGGACCCAGAGTTCCAGAGGCTGGTGAGAGAGGTGTGCATCCAAGCCAAACAGGCTGCTGACAAGGCCCAAGGTCGTAAGCCAGTCCTGGTTCCAGTGGTCACCAAATCCGATCTTTTGGAGAAGGAAAAGCCAGACATCCGAGAAAAAGTTCGTCATGCCTTCAATGAGATGCTGTCCAAGTCCTTCAATAAGATGCTGTCCATGTCCGCTCCAAGCATCGCTTTTCCTTGGTTCAATGGGACCAACGAGCCAACTACTTGCGGTAGATTCTTCGGATCATCCGCTGGAATTC